GTGATAACTTGATACTGTAAGATTTGTCATACGTCTCGTATAAATTAAATCTGTAATGAATTTATTTCAAGTGTTATACGAATTATATGAAAATTAAAAGCTAATTTCATAATAGGTCAATTGATTTTGTCCTTTTGCGAATTTGTGTTTTTAATTCTATATTCTTTCTATGTATAAAAAAAAAATAATGGCTCAAGAGATTTGAAAAGATCATTTAAAAAAAAAAAAAACAGTAAGGGTTGATAGGATGCATTACGGAAAATAATGTAAACATTTGAAATGTATGCTATTTTTAATATATTAAATCAAGTTCAAGAAATACTTTTAATATAATTATTTGTTAAACATAATTAATTTCAACATTACGTAAAATTCTCCAATTTTTGTAATGAAAGACATCCTAGTCTCTTGGGTTGGATGATGCTCTGATTGCTTCCCCTTTCTCATCTGCAAATTAAATGCATGTACGGTTTACTTCAGGTGTGAATGTGGAATAAAACTTTAAAAGGTCAAAATAACAAAAAGTACTCCGTAATCTACTTTTTACATGATTATATTTATGATGAGGACACAAGGTATATGTGTATTTTGGTTGGTGACGTGGCTCTATATAGATTAAAGAAGTTTATGTAGTTGGTTTGGCTTTACCTGTGGGCAAAGTCCTTTTCAATTTGCTTGTGGTTGGTGGATAGATAACTAATTAGTAATATTAAGATAAAATATAGAATTATCTTATGTCACATTTTGTTAGAGATATTAATTAGTCTTGGTATTTTTTTGTTCCATAGTGTATACTAAAATGGTGGAGTGGGATTAGGTGTCCAAATATGGCAGGTAATTAACTACCTTCAGGAATTTTTTTTTTTTTTTTTTTTTTTTGTCTATTACAGCCCGCATAAGCTAATATGAAACTCAAGTTTCTAACAATAGCGTGTGAAGGCAGACAATAGTTGATTTTTTTTTTCAGTTTTCTCATTTTTTTAGTTTTGTTTAATCAAATTCAAGTTTTCAACCATCGAGAATATCTTCTAGGAGGAAGCCCAATGCATGTGCACCAAAGCAGAGGCCCAAAACCCTTAGACGGCGCAGTTTTTCTAGGCTAATTCACCAAAAGACAAAAAATAAGGTGAACTATAAATTTGTAATTATAATTTGGGCTCTTACTAGTCTTTTTGTTCTAGAAAAACAAAAAAACATCATAATTGGGGCAGATGATTATTCTTAACAATGGGCTATTTGTTGACTTAGGTCCTCTAAAATAATGTGGGCTGGAGAAAATTGCAAGGTCAACATTTAATTGATTGAGTGCACTAGAGTTATCAACATTTTCCAGAAAGTAAGAAATTCGAGGAGCAGTTTTTTCAAAAGAAAAATTCGTTGGGAAAGCAAAAGTAGTGGTTAACATCACCAATAATTCCATGTGATAGCATTTATTATTGATTTAACGAATCCAAAGGTGAGAATTGATTCATATTGGATTGATACCACACAAATGGGAGAAAAAATGACACATCATGTTCCCAACTGCCGAGCTCATCAAATATCTCAAAAAACTTTATCTCGAAAGTCTTTGAGTGTATTTTGGGAAATTAAGTTTTTTTAAATTTTTTTTAAAAAGTATCGATATATTAAAGCTCTTGTTATGTACTGGGTGTAGGAAAAACTCAATCATAAGAGTTTTGTCTTACATTTTTATTAGAAATGAATTTCAAAGTTTAAACACATCACATAATAATAACTTTATCCATTAAATCTCTTAAAATTTATTAGTGATATCCTATTAGGCGTTTCTTCTTCACCATCCATAATGTTTGTTTAATTATACGCAATACTTTTGCTAAGGATTGGTACAGATACATGACAAGTTGTTTGCGACTTAAATAGTAGGTCCACAATAAACACCTTTTAACATTTGTTATACACGTGGTCTTGTCTTTTCAGTTCAGCATCAGCATGTTCTTGTTTGTTATGATAGGGGCCAAGCTATCGTATTAAATACTTTAACGAGAGTTTAAAATTCATAAATTTTAAATTTGATCCCTCGTCCTTAGTTACGCAGTCAAAAGTGTCTTTTGTGTCCAACTTGCTATAAGTTATTGCGTGTTTTAGACATGGTCTTCTTCACGCTTTGCATGCAATAAAATAAATCCTCTGTCTCTGTGTGTGCCAAAACGTGTATTTTTTTATTTTTATTTTCTCTTGGACTTTCATCACAGTCTACGTATACAAACTTATTAACAAGGTAAATTTTGTGAATTGTGTACTGTAAAGAATTGAAGTTTCTGTTTCAAATTGCACATTTGGGAGTTCCTATTATTTTTTTAAAAAAAATAAATGTCAACTAGGCCCAACTCGTTGTTACATGGTAGAATCATATTTTGGAGTCAAACGTGTAAAAGCAAAAATAAATAACGACAAAAATGAAATCAGTGAAAAGCTATACGAAATGAAAATTCTTCTCCATCCAAGGGTGAGTCGGTTGAAATAAAGATAATATTAGAGACCTGATTTATATTCGATGTATAAATAGACATAGTTCTTTAATGCTATGCACCTCCTTCTTAACTTCACTGTTCACTCATTTACATTCACACTGTGTGTATAGTAAGTTTTCACATGCCAATTTTGGAAAGTGTCTCAACTGCCTTAAATTGTAATAAAACAAAATGAGTGGAGAGGGAACATCGACAAACACTAAATCCAATTATTTGACATAGATAATTAAGTAATAATTTTGAGTGCTACCCAATTGATATACCATAATGATCAAAATATAATACATACAAATACTACTTCGATATCAAAAGTGATATTCTTTTTTATCATGGGAAACACCTTTAAAGGCAAATTTTTAAAAATATAAGAGATGATGTTGAAGTGTAAAATTTGCTCGCATCAGGTGTTTGCACAAAATTAATATATGTATGTCATGTGTTTAAATTTATTGTTCATTTTACTGCATTAAATCACATGCTAATGGAGATTTCATTTGCTTAGTGTAAACACCCGGTACAGATAAGTTTTTTCTCGATGTTGAGTATATAAATAAGAAAGTCTTAGATTCCAATAACGTTTAAAAAAAATTCAAGTTTAAGCTAAAAGGAGGAGAAATAATTAATGAATTTGAACTACAATCAATATTCTTTCACTATTACATATAATATCGAGTTGCGGATAATTTTTTTGTTACTAAAGTTATGGACTTGATGGTGCCAAATTTTAAATATTTTTACAAAAGTTATCTAATATATATATCAATTACATTTATAATAGTAAAAATGTATGCAAATTAAATGGAAATGTCTTATTCCTTCCTTCGAAAATAAATTTTTTACCTTAAGATATTGGTAAGGTGTGCAGACATATTTGTTTAGTTTGATGTATTAAAAGAGTATGCATTGTACGAACATATTTGTTTACAAAAATATTCTTCATACTTACGGTGGAAAAGATGTAAAATTACTTTTGAAGGATAATTGGATCTTTAACCATATTAATACATATATTAAATCCTTTGCATAACTAACACCTAGAAATCCATAATAATTATTAATACAGTGCTCAATACACAAAAGAGTGTATAACAAATACAAGAATTAGTTTTACATTACATATATAATTAATCTTTATATTATTTTTACTAAAACGTTCTACCAAATGACCCCTTAATATGTTATTATTGTTATTGTATGTTGTTGCTATCAGTTTTATATCCTAAATTTCTTTCTTCTTCGATAGAGTGAAATAAAATATTTACGATGGATTCATGTGAATCTATTGTTTACGACCTAGGTCTAACCCTAATAAAAAATTATTGGAAGGAAGCATCGTGGTTCGAGTGATAACCAAAGTCACAAGCGTGTATGGGCCGAGTTTGGGGCGGAAGTTGAAGTGACCAATTAGGGAATAACTATTGCTGGTCACAAATACCGAGTGATTAGACCCTCAGATTACAGAACCCTTACGATAGTGACTTGTAACGCGTTACCCAACAATATACTTATTATTAGTTTATACAAATTTATGTTAGGTGGGGACCTATTTATAGTCTTCACCCAACAACAACCCTAATAATAATGTTTATTACTTTAAAGGCGTCGTTTAATCGGTGAGATAAAAATTATAATAGCAAGAATATTTTATCATATGGTCAGTATTGTCTTTATTCTTAATTATTTTTATATATTTTTTTTAATAATTGTCCCTAATTACTTATCTATTTTGACAAATTATGAAAGAACATTTATTTTAAAAAGATAGAACTTTTCGAAAATTTTAAATTTTAATCCATCCACTTCATGATAAACAGGTAAATTTCACTATGTCTATAGTTATTTTCTTAATAGGTGTATTAATGCAAAAGTGGACAAGTAATTAGGGACACAAGAAGTAATAATTAGTAGTATTATATAATTCTACAAATTATTTCATTTTGAGAATATGATTTTAGATAAGAAGAGGTGGATGGTTGAAGATTATTAGGTTGTAGAATGTTGTCCTTTTGTTTTTTTTCATTTGAAGGTTTAGTTTTGTTGGTGTCTAATACTATTCACGTTATTGTAATTTTTGTTTTTGGTATCTATCATCATGCGTTATTTCTTATGCTTATTGTTCCTTTCTAGTAGGTTTCGAGCTACTTTTCTATGCTATCTTCGCTATTTTCATTTTCTTTTACTTGAATTTATTTTATGTGAACAAAAGGTCTTGTGAAAACAACATTTATAATTTCGTTGATTTCATTTTTTCGAATCACACTAATAAAATTTTACTAAATATGTTATTATTATTATATTTTATTCAATTATTTTAATATTAATAATAAAATAAGTTATTTATCACATCCCTCCCACCAAACGATCCGTAATATAAAATAAACACGGCCTTCTCAGAAAATTACAAAGAACATAAATTAATGATTGACCCACGCCCAATTTGCCCACTTTTCCCCAATTGGCCCCCTCTCACGAAAATTCTATAAATCACTATCTTCATTTTCTATTTAAAGGAGTGGACACACACAGTTTTAGCATAGCTTCCCATATTATTATTATCCACACACAACAAATTACAAAACAAAATATACTAAAATCTGTATTTTTAGCTTCTTTTCACCATCTAATCTCACAAAAATATCATCTTTCCCTGTTTTATCGAGTAAATAAAGATTAGTTCCAACTGGATTTTGTTCCCTTTTCCCCTTCTCTCCATAACGAACCTAATTTGCAGTTCTGTATTTGGGGGTTTTCTTCTTTTGGAAGAACAGAAAAAAAGGTGTCTTTTGTTTTACTTTTGGAGTTATTAAGATATGGCAATGACCAAAACCTTATCTATGATCTCAAGAACAGGAAGAGACTTGCAGAGATACAATGATGGATGTCGTCAAGTTGTTGGGTGCGTATTAATTTTTGATTTTTTTTGGTTGAATATAAAGAAAGTTGAAATCTTTATATGTGGGGTTGTGTTTAATTTTGAAAACAATTTCTGGGTATGTTTATCTGATCTTTCTGTAAATTTTTACCAATGGCGCAGATGCATTCCGTACAGATATAGAAAAACCAATCAATCATCTACAGTTCAAGGGACCCAAATTGATGATTTGGAATTCTTATTGATCAGCTCACAGAAGAGTCCAAAGTGGATGTTCCCTAAGGTATAATTACAATCCAGTTTGTTTGTTTGTTGTATTTTGCTCCCTATTTGGAGTTTGGATTACTATTCTTAATCATTCTTGGATTTGACTTTTTTTTTTTGTTTTGTGATGAAATAGGGTGGTTGGGAAACTGATGAGGCATTAGAAGATGCTGCTTTAAGAGAGACTTTTGAGGAATCTGGTGTAGTTGGTGATGTTGGGGTTCAGGAGTATTTAGGTACTTGGAGTTTTAAGAGCAAAAGTCAAGGGACATTTCATGAGGGGCATATGTTTCCTTTACTTGTCACAGAAGAACTAGAAGATTGGCCTGAGAAAACTGTCCGAAAACGTCTATGGGTAAGTTGTGAATCTGCTTATCTTAGCTGCTGTGATCTCGAATCACTTTGATTTGTGTAATTTGTTAGTTGGATAGTGTATCCTGATGTTATATTTGATTTTATCTTGCAGTTGAAATTTAGTGAAGCAAGAGAAGTATGTTGGCATTCCTGGATGAAGGAAGCTTTAGATGTCTTTGCCTCTAAGCTCACAAAGAGAAATAAAGACGATGAGCCTCAGACATGCCCTTTCGATGAATTGTGCTATGAACAGACAGTTGCTACTGTATCTAACTCTAACACAATGTTTTATGAAGAACCAATAATCAGCATTGAAGCTAATGACTTGACCTGTGAGGAGGAGCTGAGACTTAGCCTTGTAGCTAAGCCTTCTCTAGGTAAGCTCATGTTCAATGAAGATGCAAGGCGAAAGCCGTTTTCCAATGAAATTAGTAATGTAGCCTACTCAATGTTCAGTGAAGAAGCAACCATGAGCACCAAAGCCCAGAAGATGTTCAATGAAAAATTGGGAAGAATAAGCATTGCTGCTTTCAGCTAGCAAACAAATGATGGAAGAAACTTCAAGACTTCTAAAAACCGAGAATGAGGAACCAGGTTCGCCTATCCTGTAGAATTCTCGACGAGCTGGAAGCCAAGAATGAGCATAATGTAATGGAGAAAGAAAGAAAGAACCTTGGAACGCCGTCGACAGAAATTTTGATGACTATAAATATGCTGGACTTGGCATTGTTACCTACAATCTGCAAAGAAAGGACAATAATCTATCGATGCAGTTACAGGCAGCAGTATTATGGACCAGAGAAAAGAACCTTTCAAATCCCTGCCTGATACGATTCTGTATATTGTCCCTTTAACCCGAGAAGAAGTTTGAGTTAACCTTGCTTTAGATGATTCAAAGAGAAACTAATCCAGTTTCTCAAAGGCATAACACATACATAGACACTCAAGTTTGGCCTCGATTGGCAAGTAGACAATCCAATTTTGGGAGTGGACACACGATGATGCTGACTTGACACATAAATTTTGGATGCGTCCAGATGATTATTTCTTTAAGCTGAGTGTTCAACTGACACAATGGAGACGAGTTGAAATTAGTAGATGTGCATCGTCCTTGGAGCGTTTTGTCAGTTGAGACCAAGTTTGAGTGTCTATCTTTATATTATATACCTTTCTCAAACACCAGATATGGTTAATCGCATAAGTTTCTAACATCATTCTTTAATTCTTTTTTGTTGTTACAAGGTGTACATATGATCATTTAGTTAAAAGAACACCAAAATTGAACCCAAAAAAATTGTCTCTAGTTGTTGGCATTACCCTGTTGATTCAATGATTGAAGTATAAATTAATGGCTATGATGTTCTTGACTTGTCTGAGTTTTGGACAAATTTACTACTGTTGGGATGGATAGGTGAGGAACTTGATTTTTTCAGACTCATTTACCAACCATATACTATAGTTTTATTTTAATTTTAAGCTCTAGAAAAGAGACCAGTTCAACATATCATTGCCGACATGATAGAAAATAACAATGAAGCCAATTGCAGTTGACTGTATAAACATAACATATACAAGGAAATTGCTATGAAAGAATGAAACATGGTTTAGAATTATTTTGTTGGAAGCATCCATGAGTCGTGGAGTGTCTTTGAGAATCATATGGTTTTGTTTAATGATGTTATGGACATGTTTGTTGGGAGTTCACGAGGAAGACATACCCATCATGCACCAAATCTCTCGAGATATGGTTGATGAAGTAGAGATAAAATAATCGATCAGTTCGGAGTGAGGTATAACGTATAATAATTCCGATCTATTATTTGGTTGAAGGTGTTAGGTAGTCATTGGATTATTTTAGTGATGAAATAAGTTATTGCAGAGTCACTTTATAATTAGGGGTTCATTCGAATTCCCTTACGTGGAAAATTATATCATTTATATTTGGTTAAAATAAATATTTAGGTATATATAGTAGATGTCGAACCCCCTTTGATTAGTTCGTGTGTCTATTTTTTTTCCCCAAGATTTTGAACCCCTTATTAAAAATTCTGACTTCACCACTGCATGGTAGAATTACTTATTCCAAGTTAACTTGTTTCCAACCAAACAACCCTTTAGAGAAATAATGATCACTTTATGACAACTAAACTTAGTGATTTTTTGAGATATTAACTCGATTTAAGTTTCAAAACTTGGTGACGTATTGAGATGCTAACTTGATTTAAGTTTCGAAGTTCTAAGAGATTATTGTATTTTTCTTTGTTGTTTTTTTTCTTTTATAGTGACAACTATAAAGAAGAAGATAAGAATTTGGTGAAGTTTTGTTCTGTTTTATATGTTGTTTTGTGGAGTGATTGTGACCAACTTTTCTTACTAATTCGATACAAGACATATCCACACAAATGAATACGAAAGATTTGATTTTATAGTCCTTTTTATTTGTTAGTTTATTATATTTTTCACAAGAGATCAATACGGTAATAAAAGTAGAAACTTCAAAATATCTAGATGTTGTTTAATAACAAGTATTAATTACTAAAGAAAAAGTATTAGCTACCAAACGACCCTTTTGATGTGTATATTTTGGTTATTAAACATGCCCATATTAGTGCAAATTCAAAGGTCCATTTCATGTTAATGTTTAATTTACAGAGCTGAATTTAATAAGGGATTCATAACTTATTAAATTAGATTTTTCTAATAAGTTGTATGTCATTAGCCTAACTATAAAACAAAGTTGTCTATGTTTCATCAAAGACAAATTTGGTATTAAGACTTATCTTGATTTCTTATCTCATGTTCACGTTAGTATATCCACTTGTGGGTGCGTGACATGTTATAATCAAGTGGACAGATACGGAAAATGATAAATAAATTTCTAAACTATCGTAAATAGTCTGTAATATTATTTATTATGTTTTTGAAATATTGGTGTTTTTGCCGTTAAAAAAACTAAAGAATATACGCCCTTTATACTAACGGACATGCACATGTTATAATCTTAACCATCGAACCAACATTTATTGAGTATCAAATCGACGTATTGAATTTCATTACGTGTCTCTATCTAGTCTTTTGTTAGAAATAAAGAGTATATATGTTTTAGTTTTTAACGGCAGGGACACCAAAATCCAGTTGACGGAGGGTATCTGCATACATTGGTGATTGTTCATGGGTATATTTGTCAATTTTCCATTTTAATAGTTTCACTCTTTATAAAGTTTAATAAATTATATTACTTATTAAGAAAAAAGTAACATAAATCCAATTCTATTCATGAAAATTCTATTTATGTATGTTGTTGTTTGTAAAGTAAGAGCCTAAATTTCAAATTCTATTTATGAAATTATATTTAGGTATATTGTTATTTGTGAAGTAGAAACATAAAATATTTTTTCAAGAGTGTATTTATTTTCATCAGAAGTCTCAAGTTCGATCTTGAATAAACAACAATAACATATTTAGGGGTCGTTTGGTACAAAGATGCATAATGCAGGAATTACTAATGCATGGATTAGTAATGCAGAGATTATTTTTTAGCAAGTATTTGGTTCATTATTTCCTACCTAGTCTTATGTTTGGTTTAAAACTTTAGAAAAAGTTTATTTCCTATTATACCCTTCAGTTATTGTGAGATTATGTTTCATTTAACTAGTCAAGTTAAATATTAAAAATAATATATAAAAATATTATTAATTTTGAGGTGTGATATGTCACATGGTATATTTCTAATTTTTTGTTGGTCAAATATACCTTGAACTTAACATGAATTTAAGGCTACTTAAATTGTTCAAATACGTTTAGCTTATTTAAAAAAAAAAAAAAGTTCACGTGGTCAATTGACGAACTACATTTAAAAACAAAAAATCAATCCAATATAACAACTCAAACATGGAGAAAAAAATATTAGTTTGTGAAATCATCAAATTACACGGAATAAATTTGGAGAATTAAACGAACATTTATAAATATTCTCATATAAATAAAAAAAAAAGAACATGAATTACAAAAAAAAAATAGGATAAAAAATTTGGGGATAATTTAGTCATTAGGGGTCTTATCCAAGGATTGCTAAACCTTGAATTAGCTATCCCTCCCTTTCCTAGGGATAAAATAAGACCTTGTATGAGGTATTAGTAATCCATGGATTAGGTTAAATAAAGTAACCAAACAATGTTATTGTTGAACTATATTTTAATCCATGGATTATTTTGATTAATACTTCCTACCAAACGGGTCCTTAGTGATCAGTATATACTCATACAGTAATATTTAAAAAGAATAATGCGTATATAAATTTTACCGACTTTAACTATGGAGTTATTTAAAATGATCCACTCTCAAATTTCTTTATTATTTCCAATAATCCCAAAGTGACCAATTTGTTATTTATTCTATGCATTAAATAATAATTGTGGATTCATTTGTTGGTTTATATATATCTAATATCAACGGTCGACTTGGGCATTTGAAATTCAAAATCCAAAATCTCAGCTTTCTATCAAAAGGGCCTTCAAGAAGAAGAAAACGAAGAAGCAAATCGCCATTGAAACGCCAGAATGGGAAGACTTGGAGTGAAAACTGACTATGAAGAACTCCGAAACGCTCAAATCATGGAAAACAAGGTCCTCTTCTCTCTCAATTTGAGTGTATCTAATTTCTGTCAATGTTAATTTGTTATAAAGCTGAATATCTTGGATTACAGGCGCGATTAGCCAGTCTTGGACTTCAAAAGGCTGTGGCAGAGCTCCGATCGATCAGATCTAAACCACAATCTGAGAAGAGAAAACACAACAAAGTTGACTACTTCTCAACCCCTTTGCGCCGATCTAGTCGATTGAAAGGAAACTCTTCTGAATCGAATTCAAGCGGCACTACGCCGCTAGCGAAAAGTTTGTATCTATGTCTCTTTTCTCCTTTTTTTTGTTTTGGCCCTATAAGTGTGGATTTTGAAATTAGAAATGTTTTCTTTATGGATTGTTGCTTTTAGGGAAATTGGGGCTTTTTGATGATGAAGATGATGAAGATGATATTGAGAAGAGACCAGCTAATGCACCTCTGTTGAGAGTGAAAGATGGCTTAACGCTGCGTCTTACTCCAGAAGCTTTAGCTCGGCGTTGCACAAGCAAGGACAGGGGAACGTTATATGACCCTTATTTGGGTATTTGCTGTCACTTTTGCAGGTTTTGAACACGTTCTTGAATACCCTTTTGCTTAGCATTTTTTTTTGCCTTTTATTGTGATAAATATTTTTTATAATCAAGTCACTGTTATAATCAATAGCCAGATAACCTTGTAAAAATTGTTAAGTAACCTGCTATAACAAGTTAAATATATAGACAGTATGAACAATCGATGACGCGTTAAGTATATAGCTTAAATCCTTTTGTAACTCCCAGTTTTTGATCACTTACTGTCATTTCAATAATCAAGTCACCGCTATAACCTTGAGAAAGGCTGATCTAGGGTGGACGTAGGGGTTCATCTGAACCCCTGGATTGAAAAATTACACTCTATAAATAAGGTCAAATCCAATGTTTATGGTGGTTACATAGACTGAAATGAACCCCCTCAGCATAACTAGGATTCCAAGGTTGCAAGTTCGACACTTACTCTCTGCAGTCGCGTGCCTACACTTACTTAATATCTATATATGTAATGATAGTGTAGAGAATCCTTACCTTGTTAGGTATATAGAATTAAACCTTTTGTAAATCCCAGTTTCTGGTCACTCACTGTGCAGTGAATTGAGGGACTTCCTTCAAGGCGGCTTCTTTGTTTTGTTTTGCTAGGAAGTGTGATTTTGCGCTTGAATTTACATCTGTGCCAGCTTAACTTGTCCTTACATATCATAAAAATGCAAAGGTGTCACACGAGGATCAATTAAAAATGATAATATGTGAATGTTAATGCAGGCAAAAGAAATTATGTGGTGAGGAAGACTGTAAGCGATGTGGTGATTCAGACATGGATCAACCTTGCATAGGTTAGTCTTACAAATTGTTTATTGTTTTGTGGTACTTACTAGTCTGTAAACAGAGTGATGAATATAAAATTTCATATACAGGCAAGACAGATTGTTCAAGTTGTCATTCTAGCCAAGGTGTTCTTTGCCGAGGCTGTCTTAAGGTTCGATATGGTGAAGGTGAGACAATAACTATGCATTTTAGATACTGAAGGTTATATGAAGTTACATGGTTTTGATCTTTAAGTCACTTATGTTGTACGCACTACTCTTCACTTAATGAAATTGATTTCTTCCTTTTCACTTATGAATGTCGATTAGTACTAAATATGTTCAAATTGTGCTAGAAATGGAGGATGTGAGAGCAAACAAAGAATGGATATGTCCTCATTGTACTGAAGA